CTTTATTTGACATATTTAGTGTTTGACACTAGAAATTTGGCCCTCTGGAATTCTGACGAAATTAGCTACGTCCAGTTTCAGCCAAAATAAAATGCAAACTCTGTATTGTATTGACACAAACTCAGTATTGAGGTTGAGCTCTATTGAATTGACACATGACTTTCAGTGAACTAAAAGAATGTTTGTGAAGGTGAAATCTTATTTTCTTTGCTTTGTTTCACCTAAATTCCAAGAACATAAACACCCCAACACATCCTTAGCTGAAGATGTGATTTTCCAGTAAAATCGATCACATTTCCCATTTAAACGTGATAATTGATAAATCTCACAAGTAATATATCTAAATGACTGGGACCGCAGAGGATCGATAATTGGTGGGCTCATACTCATATATGTATGTTATAATCCATAGAAAACAATGGATTTCAAAGGAACTTGATACGGCACATCATGCACATATGAATATCAGCCCCCCCTCCCCTTCGCCCAATTATCGATCATTTGCGGTCGTTGAATTATGAAATGAAGTGTTTTAAACCCTCTCACTGCGCTTTTCATGTATGAACTGATCACGTAGAACCTTAAAGAGGTTGTTCGCGATTTCTTGGTCAGCTACTGAAGTTAGAACTTTCAAATTTGATCATCATTTATATGTTCTGTAATCAAAGGGTTCAAGCTCAAAATTTGCGCACTGCTTCATCCCGCGGCAAGTGTGATTGCGCGCGCACGATCTTTCGTCATCTTTGCATTTCTCTAAGTCGTTGTTTACCACGTATTGTTTTCAAGACTTTTTCACATTGTTGTCAGTCGTCAAAAGGGATGAACATTAAACGCTCATCCTCATGAACAACGAGGGAAGGTCATGAAAAAAGAACATTGTTAATGGGCTTTAATAAACCGCTCTTCCTGTAGTGTTTTTTTTTACGAAACATTTATTTACCGTCAATAGTGTTGTTCCCAAGTCTGATATTTTCGAGCGTGACGAATTGCTTTCCCCGATGACGTTGGGTGCATGCATGCGCGCTCACGAGCAATTGCGCACCCTAGAAGCTTCGAAATTTTTTTTGTCAGGTGGTGGAGCCGATGCAAGTCGAGTTTATGAACATGAAGGAAGCTCGTGAAAAGCCTACGGAAGATATGCAAGGTGAAATAGTTATTTTACTTTTATATTTGAAGAGACATCTTTTAATGTATCTTGTCTTCAATCGAAAAGATAAAACGTATTAGCTAATAAGAAATTATTACTTGGCAATCTTTCGTAAAATAGCGCGCTTTGATTGGCTTAGTAACATTTTCGTTAGTCCATCAAGAGTACGTAAACTTCCTACAGTAAAGAACTGAGTACTGTACTAATGTCTCATGCAGTAATATAAACTTTCTACTTACCTCACTCGCTTGGTGTTTGTCAAAAAATATTGGTATTTGGTAAAGAGCTTGCGCTTAATTGATAAGAGCTTATTTACGTATTGATTCTGATATTATAGATATAGCTTATGCTAATTTAAAATTTACACTTTTCATTAGAAAAAGCGATTGTGGTGCCATACAGACTTACTGTAGAATACCAACTTAATCAATTTTGTATATGTGATTGGTTTGGCAATTCTGATGAAAGTTTTAATTCGTTATTACAATACCCATAGGTCTTCTTATCAATGGCAGAAGCCTTTTTCTTTGATTTTTTAAGACTCTAACTCGGATTGTTTGCTGTGCTAGAACCCTAACTAATTTCATTGATTATCTATTGTCCTTTACCACCTAATGTGTCATTTTTCCTATCTCTTATATTCATTCGTTGTCATTTTGCGTTCCAGCTTTGGTTGACTTTTCTGATGAAGAAGGTTACGGCAAGTACTTGGATCTTCACGAACCTTATGATAAATATATTAACATCAAGGGAATCGAGGTAATTCAACTACGTTAATGTCAGACTGAAGAGTGAAGGCGATCATCACTTCAGGGATCGAAAGATCTCAGTTCGGTGAACTTCATTTGAATTTTGTCAAAGTTGGTTTCGGAGCAGTCACCACTACACATAGTTGAGACTACAGACTTAAGTGTTTGACGTTCGTAGCGAAGAAAGCATTGCCATGCATCGCATGCCTGTCTTACTTTGTCAAAGTTGGTTTCGGAGCAGTCACCACTACATATAGTTGAGACTACAGACTTAAGTGTTTGACGTTCGTAGCGAAGAAAGCATTGCCATGCATCTCATGACTGTCTTACTTTAGTTCTTTCGTGGAAATCTTCGTATGCTATATTGGCCAAACGCAAATAAAATTGACATGTTGATTTGATGAAATGAACAACCTAATTAGGAAACTTTGGCGTTCGAGAACTTTCACTATTTTCTTTTGTGTTGTCTAGAGAATAGACTATCTTGCGTATTTGGAAACATTCGACCGCTTGTTCGACATTCCCAAAGAGAAGAAAACACACGAATACAAAAGGTGAAACTGAAATTTTGTTTCCATAGAAGCTAAGGCGATAGTCTAAATTCACCACAACATGGTTGCTATGAGTTCGCGTTTGCTATAAAGACTACTTCCGGGTACTTTTTCTTGATAGAGTTCAACATATAACTCAGATTTTTCTAGTCAAGTTGCAAATTATATAAAGATTCCGAGTTTATTTTGTCGTAATTTTCTGTCAATGCCCATTCCTTGAACAAGCACTACATATCTTATCTATATTTAATTTTCGCTTTATCACTTTAAGGTCTCCTTTACGCGAGTTTTGCTTCGATGCAGTAACTTTGTATTAAATAAGGTTTTCCTAAATCCGTCAGTCTGATTGGGTCCTCGATCACTTATTTAATTATGCCCACTGGATTGCGCTGATCCTCTTTTCCTAACTTTAGATACATCATCGTTCTCCTTGATTACCTTTACTACTATTGTCAACGTGTCCAACCGCTGGTCGATCTTGATAAGGTAAGCCGACATCATTGGTTTCACGTGCCTTTGACGTAGAAACTTTCATTGTTTTAATAAAGGATCTTCTAAAACTGAAATGGACTTTCTTCGCAACATTTCTTTTCGCATGCTTACTTTCAAAACGATTGAAGCTTTTTTTGATGAGTAAAGTAGATAAGCAGTTGTCCACCGTCCATGTATTCTCCCAACTAATGTATTCCTGCTAATGTTAAACAAATTGGCCGTACATCATGTATGTGATTAACTTCATTAGCAATCAAAACTTTGTCATAAAACACAGGCGAGTTTGTTGCGTAACAACGAAAATACACGTGATTTTTATCTTTTGTAATGGGCTGATCGCATGAGCCCGGTAGCCGGGATTCAGCCAAGCGTTAAATGATTTTGGCAAATGAACACGATTCAATACTTACCATCAGATAAATCTTCTCAAGCAATTTCGCAATATTCTGTATTAATGACTTCTCAAAACATTTAAAATTGAAACAATCAATTTGCCCTGATTTCAAATTTTGAGAATTACAACTGGAGTGACGTGTAGTGGCTTCGCAAACGTAATTTTTAACCTTGAAGTTTTGGCTCCTTTCAATCGCTTGAAATCATCGGGCTAGCTCGCTATCCGGGCCAGCCATTGAAATAAAATACATGGAACACTGCCTTAATAGAAAAGTCTAATAAAATCTTGAAGCCAAATTTTACACCCAGACACGCGAGATTACACCCAGACGCGCGTGTGTAGTTAATCAATTTCCAGAATCTCGAAACACTACACACGCATGTCTGAGTGTAATGTCGCGTGTGTGGGTGTAATATTTAGCTTCAATTATTTGCTTCAGATAGCGTTTCATGTATTTTAGTTCAATGGAGCCAGCTCGCCTCCATATAATCAGGCCCTAAATCAGAAAACGACCATAAGTTAGCTACGTAATTTACATATCACAAAAAATCCAACAGTTCCAGACGTTTCGTTTTAGGAAATGGAGGAAACCCAAGAAGAATTTGATAGAAACTGGGCGCAAGGATGATTTCCAGGATGGCCCGTGAGTGAAGGGGGATATTTAGGCCGTGCATCGAAGATTTGCTTTGTATCGCGCGTGTATGTATGATTTGTTTTTGGTTTGATTATTTATAGAAAGATACCGGAAGTGCTTTGGCGCAATCTGGGGCACATCTTGATCTGTGTGGTTTCTCATCTGCTGAGGTTAGTAAATGTATGACACTAGCAAAAGACATGTGAGGGTACGCATGCATGATATAACAATAAACAGTACTAGTATGGATACGCATTATATAAGGATAAGCACTATACTAGTAAGGGTACGCATGTTATAACGATAAACACAATACTAGTAAGGGTACGCATGATATAAGGATGAACACAATACTAGTAAGGGTACGCATGATATAAGGATGAACACAATACTAGTAAGGGTACGCATGATATAGGGATGAACACAATACTAGTAAGGGTACGCATGATATAAGGATGAACACAATACTAGTAAGGGTACGCATGATATAAGGATGAACACAATACTAGTAAGGGTACGCATGATATAAGGATGAACACAATACTAGTAATGGTACGCATGATATAAGGATGAACACAATACTAGTAAGGGTACGCATGATATAAGGATGAACACAATACTAGTAAGGGTACGTATGATATAAGGATGAACACAATATCACGGTCACGTCAATTCATGGAAATATAAGCATCGTCAGCACACAGATAACGGAAACAATTCAACCTGCAACTAGACACGACTTTTGATCATCATTTATATGTTCTGTAATCAAAGGGTTCAAGCTCAAAAATTTGCGCACTGCTTCATCCCGCGGCAAGTGTGATTGCGCGCGCACGATCTTTCGTCGTCTTAGCATTTCTCTAAGTCGTTGTTCACCACGTATTGTTTTAAGACTTTTCACATTGTTGTCAATCGTCAAAGGGATGAACATTAAACGCTCATCCTCATGAACAACGAGGGAAGGTCATGAAAACAGAACATTGTTAATGGGCCTTAATAAACCGCTCTTCCTGTAGTGTTGTTTTTTTACGAAACATTTATTTACCGTCAATAGTGTTGTTCCCAAGTCTGATATTTTCGAGCGTGACGAATTGCTTTCCCGGATGACGTTTTAGCTTATGCTAATTTAAAATTTACACTTTTCATTAGAAAAGCGATTGTCGTGCCATACAGACTTACTGTAGAATACCAAGTTAATCAATTTTGTATATGTCATTGGTTTGGCAATTCTGATGAAAGTTTTAATTCGTTATGACAATACCCATAGGTCTTCTTATCAATGGCAGAAGCCTTTTCCTTTATTTTTTAAGACTCTAATTCGGATCGTTTCCTGTGCTAGAGCCCTACGATCTATCTATCTATTGATTATCTATTGTCCTTTACCACCTAATGTGTCATTTTTCCTATCTCTTATATTCATTCGTTGTCATTTTGCGTTCCAGCTTTGGTTGACTTTTCTGATGAAGAAGGTTACGGCAAGTACTTGGATCTTCACGAACCTTATGATAAATATATGAACATCAAGGGAATCGAGGTAATTCAACTAGGTCGCATGCGTTTAGTTATGAAATTCCCGCCGCTGTTTTAAACCAATCAGTAATCAAAATGAATATTTACGAAAAGCAGCGTCAGCGATATGAATGGAACAATGAAAAATGACAAAACCATGGACAAAACTGACCAAAATTTGAAAATTTTGACATTAAACATTGACAAAATAACAAATCATGACAACATTATTATATTTAAAATAACTTTTTCTACAATACATAGAGCAAAAAAGAAATAATTACTGGATCAAAATTCTTTTTGGATATCTATAGTTAAATCATTGCTTTCCTAAACATCAGTCTTTTGTGCTTATTTATAAATAGCCATAAACCAAAGATGCATACATGACTATATCTATTCATGTTAAATTTACCATTAACTTAACTATATCATTTATTATATAATATGAAGAAATGAAATAAGAAACAGAAATTATCTTTTACGCACAAATTAAAAAGGTGTGCATTGACTAACTATTTCACTAATTTGAAAACTGGAGCTTTTACAAGTTACATAATAGATTAAGATAAAATTGAACTTTATATAAATTTTGGCACGTGTACCTGATGTGATTCTAAAAGAAAAATATCACACAATCTTAAACGTGGAACAAAATATATCAATTTGTTCAATGTACACATCTCCAGAGGAATTTAACAAAATCATAAAACACAAATCATCGTTTTCTATAATCAAATTAAAAGCAGCCAATATAGAAATACAGATCGAAGGACAAAATGTAAATCTATCTAATGGCTGCTTGTCATTTATGTCTTCCACCGTGACGTCTCTTCGATGGAGTTTTCTTTTCAAGTTTATGAGCAAAACTTTCACGACAAATGGGACAGCGTGTTCTAAAGGACAGAAAAAATATTTCTCATAATCATAAAATTGACTGTTGGACAATGTCAGGAGATGACGTTCGGTATAACGTCAGTAGCGCATAAATGACGTTTGGTTTAACGTCAGTAATACATAGATGACGTTGGGTATAAAGTCAGTAATACATAAAGTTGGATTCATTTTTGGATTTTCGTTCAACTTACATTACTCTTCGAATCATTTCATTGGCGCATTCTTAATGAACTTTATGAGAACATGGTAATATTTGACAACCTGTGAAAGCATCCTACAATAAAATATTGAAAATATTTTAAAGATTTGGATATGAATTTGACTAAACATTACAAAATGAAACACGAGCAGCAACTATAATGAATATTTACCATTTGTAGCGGGGTAGAGATAAAATGAGACGGATTGTGTCGTAAGCAAAAGCAGTTTTACATGTTTGAAAATGTAGATCGTCTAGGTTGGTATAGTCCTGAAAAGGACTGTTTTTGTTGTTGTTGACTGACGATTCGACGACCTTAGAGGTAGTCATCTTCAGAGTCAAAAAAAGTCAAAAGCAGTTTTAGTTTCGAGAAAAGAATTATTGAATAATGATAGTGTGAAGTATTGTGAGAAAATAATAAAGTTGATAGTAAAAAAGTCGAAAAAAAGGCATCCGTTATCCGTTATGGTGACAGTTGACTTGAAGAGAGATATATCATTTAAAGGTCGATAAAATTTACCTAACAATGGTGAAAGTGCCATACACACATAACAGCAACTCGTGTATATAACACTGAAAAGTCAAGAATAATTTGTTTTATTCTATTCATTGTGCCTAAATAAATCAGCAGGAAAATTAAAGTAAATGTTTACCTCTAAACATATACAACATTCATCATGTGCGGAGTTTTCTACATTTATGATTACCACGCAGTTGTAAAGTTTACAAACATCGCAATGAAAAGAACGATCTCCGTGAACTCTAATGAAATACAAACGTGTCAAAAATCAGTTTAGTGCTTAATATTTATGATTATCTAACAAATGAGGTCAATCGGTTATAATTGGAGAACGTGTTTTATTTGGGTACATTTGAGTACCTGCAAATTCCACATTTCTCGCAATGATAAGGATGGTCGTCTTTGCCAGTAAGGTGTTTACTTAAAGCGCAGAAATATTCGGCAAATTTAACACCACAATTCGTGCACTTTTCACCAAACTAGCGAATTTCAAATGAGAATAGGAAAAATTAAATGAAATGTTTTTACGACCATAACAAACAAATTTCATTTAACTATTCTCGTATGTTTAGAGTAGTTTTTTGTGTTATTTTACAGCATGAAAATATATTACCTTTTGTACGTTGCTACAATAAGCACATGTCACATCTACTGCATCACGTGATTTAAGCTTCTTGTTGCCACACGCACTTTGATTGTTATGACAACAATGACAGGGATAAAACTGCTCACAACAATCAAATTTAACAAAACAATGTCTTTTATAGTGACTACATAACCAGTTACCATCACGAGACGTGAACGCCACTTCAGAGTTCTGGGAATTATTATTGAACTTTGAGTGTTTCCTACCATTACATTCTTTAATGACGTATCTGTTGAAAGTTAATTATACACAAAATTTTGCATTAGTAACGTTGGAAAATAAAATCAATGAACTACATTGTTTTCAAACATTTTTTCTCAAAGTTTCTTCTCACATTCAAAATCATTGAAATGAATATAACTAAAACACAAACTCCGACGAGAAGGACATCTTGGTTAGGAATATTATTTTGTTTTTTAAAATGTATTAATTTTATTTCATTGCGTTGTTGCGATTTTTGGGTCGAAATTTTCGTGTGTTTGTCGCCCTATTTCTTCGGCGTCTATATCGTATGCTTTTCACATGCACTATGGGGAAAAAGAAATGAAAAAACAAAAAAAAGTAGAAATTGCAACATTTAACTTTCTCGTAGGAACAAGGTTTCAAGATATATTCAGTTTAATGATCAAGATATATTGACCAAATGATCACAGCCATCGAGAGCTAAAAACATAGTGTTGACGTTGTTTATC